TACCATGACCATGATGCAGAGGATCCCCACGGCGGACCACGTGCAGACTTGATGGACGAGAAACGTCTGCGTCACGCGGTAGGGTATGTTGCTCAAGAAGATAGTTAGGAACTCGGAGAGGATGGATGTCAGTGCGACGATAGCCAGGAAGGTGTCGCGTCGCCGTACCGCGGACCAAAGACCCGAAAAGGCGTTTGTTGGTGGTGCGAGTAGGATGGAGTGTCTTGCATGCTGCGGCGACTTGGCCAGGAGTTGGTATGGGCTTAGAATTGCGATGCCTTTGAATACCATTAGATTGTTATACTAATATTGATAAGAGAAAGGGAGAAAAGGAGGAAACTCACTGCCAAAGAACGAGGCCCAGAAAAAACTGATGACCACACCAACACTGGTAAACAAGAATCGGGCACCAAACGACTCCTTATCCATGAAGCGTTCAAATGGTGTATCGCCGCCGGTATTATTGTAATACAATATCAAAGCCAGCAATCCGCACAGGACAAACAGTAATATCCCTCGTCCTACATATCCCAGCATGAGAAAGGGCAAGTGGTGTTTCGGCTTCGCAGGCACAGCATGATGGTCCCCCGGTTCCTCTTCCCGGCCATCGACCCAACCCGAAGCACCAGCAGCAGCAGCAGCAGCATCATCATCACCCCCCTTCCCATCACCACACAGCACAACGCCATACTCCACCGTCCCATCAACGCCACGGAAATAGCCCAACTTGAACCACCGATCCCGCAGCACAGACTCCAGCAGGCCCTTGGGCATCTTCCCAGCATCCGCGCCAGCCGGCAAACCCGCGGTGAACAATCTGCGCACCTCGGGATTCAGCGCCAGCGACGCCGCGCCGCAGATGCTCCAGGGATTGGTGCCGACGCCGGACCGCCAGCGCGACAGTCGCACACGCCATCAACGCGAGGATACCGATGGTCGCCCTGACCGCCTGGTCGAACACGGAGAGCACGTACGCGCAGTTCCTCGCGGACCCGCCGCCCTCGACGCAGCCGGCGCCGCGCAGGTCGAACGCCACGGCCTCGGCGGCCGTCGGGATCAGCGCCGCGGACGCGACCACCCGCAAGCGAGCGTATGCTGGATGCTATGGATCCCCACCCGCCCGTGTCCAGACACAGCGAGTCGCGGCCCCGGGCGCCGGTTGGTTCCTCTCGTGCTAGCTCGTGCTAGGGCTGCAGGATCTTGGCGTTGGTGTCGAGGCTGCGGATCGGGATCGCTAGCGCGATGGTTAGGAGCGTCGGGAGGAACATGCCGATGAAGTATTGGGTGTGGCTTATTGTGTAGGTTCTCAGCACGACGGTGTTGTTGTCGTTGCTGTTGTTAAATTTTGGTGGGAGTGAGGGGTAGAGGGTTGCTGTGGCGGTTGGAAGGCCGCTGGTGTCTGTTATGGTGGTTATGGAGGGGGTTACGAGGATAATTGTTTCTTGAGTGGCAGTGGGCTGGCCTTGAGAGTTGGTGAAAGTAATTGTTTGAGGTGTTGAGACTGGCGATGGGATGTTGGTCGAAGTTATGGTCGTGCCTTGCGAATCGGTCACGGTTGTGATATGCGGCGCTATGAAAGTAAGTGTCTGTTGTGTTTCTGATATCGTTTCTGATATCGTGACGGTTCCTATGTTGCCATGATCTGAATTAGGGACGCTCTCCGTCACAGTCTTCGTTCCGTCATTGCCGTATTCGTCCGTGGACATTGTAACTGCCGTTGTCTCGGACACGGTCACGGATCCTCCGACGCTGCCAAAGTCATCTGCAGGCTTAGAGGGAGCAATAGTCACGGTATCGCTAGGGCCGGGCCTGGTTGTTGTGCCGGTATCAGAAGGCGGCGGAGTTGTTGTTGTCGGACCCGGTGATTCCGTGACAGTCTGGTCACCGACATCTCCAAAATCACCACTCCCGGGGGTTGCGGGTATCGTAGGCCCAACTGTAGGCTCACCAGTGGATTCGGGAACAGGGTCCGACGAGGGCTCAATGAGCTCCGTAGTCTCAGCCCGTTGACCAATAGGTCTAACAGTAAAACGAGGCCCAGCGCCCGGAAGATTCATCGGTGTACCGGAAAAAGAAGAAAGCAATGGGACATCCCTCGCCACGAGGTCTTCAAGGTCACTAATGTCGTTGTTGAGGACCGGAAGAACTCGCAAAGCCCATGCGACCAATCCTATCAATGCTAATAGGACAAGCATCAAAGTGGTTAAGAATGGCCATCTCAACGCTGAAGGCTTGTAATTTGGACGTTCTCGCTTTACGTCCGCCGGGATATCTGACAAGGTTTCATCGGAGGTTATCATGTCGGGTTTGTAGCTACTTGGAACCTGGGTGTAATTCAATGTGCTACCAGACCATGATGGGCCACCACGATATATTGTGTGTCGTTCATCTTCATATTGGGTTGGGCCGTTGTATCGTCGCTCATGATCCAGACTCGCGTGATCCTCATATTCATGTCGTAACTCGTAATCCCCCAAGTCGCCATTCGATAGATGTGACTGGGGAAGGGCATCGAAACCGGCCCTTCCCACACGCGGTGTCGTCGAGACATGCGACATGGCGTCGTCTTTGGTCAATTGTCCCTCGGTTTCTCTCAACCCATTGCTGAACTGGCATAGTCGTACGTCCCAAGATACCTCATAGAAGCAGAGGAAGAGAATAAATCCCCGGCTCCATTGCACTGCCTGGGTAAACGCTTCATATTTATTATTCTATTTTTCGATTCTTGGCGCGGTGAGGCTGTCGCTGCACTGCTACCGTACCGGGGACGAGATGTGAATTCATAGGCTATCTCCCCTGTAGCCATTTCTTCTAGGAATCCTACTGGACACCTGGGGGGTCTTGGCGGCTCTCAGCTGTTCCTGCTAGAGAATGGAAATGCCGTTTCATCAGCTCACATATTCACCAACGAACCCACCAAGGTCGCATGGCATCTTGTCGATCAGTACACTAAGCTGAACGGACAGGGCTTAAGGCGTTGCTTTGCCGCATGATTTCTATATTAATACAAAAGGCCTAGCCAGAGGAACGCTTCGAGATTCAATCATTTGTCTGAGTACAACATCATCGTAGAAATGTTGGATCTGGCAGGGTAATATATCTCGTACGGGCGTCTTTTAGGGGTATGTGACTGTCGATCAGGGGACCCCGCTAGCAGGGCGTCCTCGATAGAGAGAAATGGGTGCTGTTGCAAATTCTCCAGACACAACAAACATCGTCGCCTAAGGGCGACCCTACGAGAAGCCAATATAGCACGAAACCATTATATAGGCAAGGTGCCGAGCGACGCATCTTGAATTAGTCGCGGTAGTTGTGCGGCTCAGTAAAGAGGTATCGGTAGGTAAGACGTTAATGTTGATGGCCTAAAGATTGGCGTGGAATATTATAGGCCTCTGTTTAGGCCTGATGGGGGGTGGTGGTAACCCGAGGCCGTGGTACTCCTCAAAAGATGGCGGATGGCTAGTCGCAAATACAGCCAATTCCTTTTTCCTTACTCAATCACCATGATATCATCTTCGCCCACGACATTACAATAAGCAATCAAGGAGATAGGTAGGTAGGTTCATGATTATGGTCTCAGAAGTAGCTTGATCGCACTGACTAATTCATTAATCTCAGAGAACTCCAACTGTGCGGGATTCAGTTCATTAAAAAAAGGGCAAAGTAGCAGACGGCGGAAAGGTGTTACTGTCATTCAACTACCATAGCGCAATGTCTTCTCAGTCCCTGTCCCCATTAAGGTCATTATTCCTGACCGAAGGTGTTATGAAGCTCTCCATGGGATTAGTATTCATGATATCACCTAAAACCCCCCTAAGCATCGCTGTAGCGGACCCCATCCCACCGTCCGCTCTGCTGCTGACTCGACTCCTGGGTACCCAGACCTTGACGCTCGGCATATCGATGCTTCTCGCGTCTGCGAAAACACCGGCAGCGATATCGAGTAGGCGAATTGTATACTGGACGGTATTCGCGAGAGATGCCACTCTGGCAACCATGCTCGCGCTGCAGCTCTGGTTTGGAGAGAATAATGATGTACTTGGTTTTACACCCAAAGGATTGCGCGCGTGGTTTACCGAGTTGATGCCCTTCTGTCTAGGCCATCTATGGGTTCTCACCTTCAAACCGCATTGGTTCTAAAGCTGTTTTCCTGTCTTGTTGGACTACCATCGACATTACTTTATCCGATTCGGCAGCAACAAACGATCGGAAATTCGTCTAGTCCGCTAGTCAGGATATTGAGACTATTATCCAGAATGCAAAGTCTACCTATCACCGCGGAATTTTCTAAAATAAAATTCTGGTCGGTGGTTAGTCCTTACTTGGACTCTCAACTCTTCTTTGTCTGCAACATTTTACACCGAATGGGTGCCACCCAACTCGAGATCGGTCTAGGTACACAAACTACTCTAAGGAGCGCGGGTAGAAAGAAGAGCTTACTTAAACTTGAAGCCACGCCATTACAATCCACCATCTTCGTGGGTCACTTAGCGAAGTGGATTCAAGCCTTGAGGCGAAGACTGCTACATCGTACTTAGAATGTGCTAGGAGCAAATTAAACATCTCCCAGTAGAAGTTGAAGAGCGTTTCGGTTCTTCACCATTCATCGGTCGCGTGGTGTAGTTGGTTATCACGTCAGTCTAACACACTGAAGGTCTCCAGTTCGAACCTGGACGCGATCAAGAGATATCTTTTTGATCTTCACTTCTTCTAGGAGAGTCGCTAATATGCCGGGTACTGAATGGTCTTTTGGCGTTTTGCAGGTGCAAAGCATAGCAGATTCTTTTTCCCGATAGCAATGAGTGGACATACAAGGATATAAGACGTGTGCTTTGAGTCAAAATATAGAAATACGTAGGTAGACAAGGCCCTTTCTATGAATTGATCAAATATGGGTGTTAAAACCTCAACCCCATGTTTAGGGGGGTTTTTTTTTTCTTAAAAAGAAAAAAACCAAAAATGAAAGACATATACAAACAACCATGCAGATGACCTCTAAACACCCTACGCCGGGCTCGAACCGGCAACCTTCAGATTAGAAGTCTGACGCGCTACCATTGCGCCAGCAGGGCAAATCCATTCTCCAATGGAACTTGGTTTTGTTCCAGATTACAGGCTCTATATACTAAATGGTTTATTGCAACTAGTCGCTTGTGTGAGTTGCGGGGCTTTTCAGCCATCCAAATCCGGAGCCAATGTCAAATCACAGTTCATGCGTAGAATAAAGCACTGTGCTGGGCATCATTACATAGTAGCTGAGTTCTTTGCGCCCTAACTGTCATATGATCTACATACACTGTATTTAAGCTTAGATACAGTGACCAACACTGTATCCGATTCTAGAGAATACAACAATCTTTCCATGATACTAACCGCCTTGATGTAGGTCGTTCGTGACACCGCACATCGCGCGGGGATCGTAGGGATACAGAGCAAGAGTAACCCAGCAAGGCAGGAAAAGGATTGGGGGCTGCGTAGAGCACCGTTCAATGAAATTCGACCGGGACATCGATAAAGACGGTACGGTAGTACTGATACGTGAAGTGATGAGAAAACGGAAATAATTCCAAGTTATTCAATATTGCGTGCCCGCATTTTCCTAACCGCTTACCCCTTACATGGTACGTAGCGGTCGCAACCCATATTGAGATTCTTCAGATAAGAATCCCCAGACTTCGTTTTCTCAGACTTTTATATGTTCATAATACACAATTGCCATCATGGGCGGGGTCGCTTCTATACCCACAGACCCTTCGAAGAAGGTGCAGGTGATCTCGGCAGGATATTCGAGAACAGGGACCGTGTCTATGTCTCTAGCGCTGGAGAAGTTGGTTGATGGTCCCGTACTTCATGGGGGCACTCAAATCCTTCTACGCGACGATGGTAACGTCCACGAGCCCGTATGCTAAAATCACGCTGATATCTTTTAGATTACTGTTCTACATGGATCAAGGCCTATGAAGCCAGAGAGGCAGGCAACAAAGAGGAGACCTTGAAACTTGTGCGCAAAGCGACTGAGGGCTTCGCCGCAACCGCAGATCTACCCCCATCTGACTTCATACCTGAGATGATGGAGTTATATCCGGATGCCAAAGTCGTCTTGGTCGGCAGAGACCCGCAGCGGTGGTGGGACAGCATCGCAACCTTGACCGCGAGGACTACACCATGGTGGCTTGCTGCCGTAGTCGCGCCCATCCCCGGGTGGAGGTTCATCCCGAAGTTCGCCAGTGTATACAGCCGCTCAACTTTACGACTAGCCGGCATAGATAACAAGGATGCCAGTCCCACCGAGCTCATCGAAAAGGGTGGTCCTCGTAAGTTTGCGATACTGTTCGGGCGTTAACGACTGCTAATCCATCCCTGTAGACATCCTCACAAACCACAATGATAGAGTACGATCAATCGTCCCCAAGGGACAGCTTCTAGAGTTGGAATTGGGCCAAGGGTGGGAGCCTCTGTGCAAGTTTTTGGGTGTACCCATTCCCAACGAGCCGTTCCCAAGGGCAAACGATGCCCAGGCAGCAGATGAATACGCTACGAAAATTCTGGCAAAAGTCTTACAAGTGTGGCTTGGCATCTTTTCTGCTGCTGGAGCTACCGCCTATTCAGCGTTCTGGTTATGGAAAAATAAGTTCTCTTGATGCACTTCTGGCAACGAGCCCCTGGTGCACGCAAGCTGTCAGGCCTTGTTTTTTATTACGCTGGTTCGTTTGCTTTAATGGGTAGCATGGGCGCAATATCTCATGTCGTAATTTTATGCGATTGGTTTCATTTGTATTATTTATTTAATCTGATACTATATTTCGCGCTTGCATGTCGCCCGGCCAGAGAAATTATTGCCGTCTTGAGGTTGATCAGAGGGAGTCACTGCTCTTCCATGGTATCAATACTGTCCAAATAACTCTGAATGCTTTCCAGCCCTGTGATGCGGGCGTGGAGTGGCCGCCTCTCGGATTTATACTCATCCCAGGCGTATCCTTCGCCCTCGCCTTTCATAGTTTCGAGTGGTAAAAGCGCGTAGTACGGATTTTTAACCCAATATAACCTTTCCCCTTTTGATACATCATCCAACAAGTTGACCAGATATTGAGGACATGTGGCGGATCTGTTTATTTCCTGATTGTCGGGGGTCCGGTACTCATCTTCTCTCTTCTCGAGTCCAGATGGGATGGTATACCAAGTCAGCCTAGATACGGAAAGGGCCAGCCGCCAGTCACGCTCGGTATATTTTAACATATGTTCGCAGAACTTGCGCACTCTCGTTACTTGCTGTGTAGTCCAGCTTGAACCTCTGCTCTTCGGGTGAAGGATCTTGAGAAAGTCATTCCCAGACGGGACTTGGCCCTCGAAGTCCCTGCATATTGTAGGAACTAGCTCTTCTGGATCCTCTAGCCATCTCATTGCATTGCTGATGATCCACACATAGTAACGCACAAGCCGTATCGTCTGGCTCCAACCAAGGGAGCCTTGCTGCGACCGGCTGGGACTCCCTGTGTCTGGCGTTGGCAATTGCAACGTCTTAGTTTCGAGGGTAGCAAACCATTTTGACTTGGATAGTGTCTCCAGGAGCGTTTCATGGTTGAAGAAAATATAATCGTGATCCATTTCAATGAGCCAATTAACCTTCTCGGCGGTATTAAGACCATATGAACGTAGGGAGCGATAGAGAATGCCAGCATAATCATAATGTTCACGATCTATTGGGCTTCCCTGGCCCGACCACCACAGACCATCATTGGGCTCTTCTTGCTTCTTTCTCATGTATTTATGGAAGTCTTGCTCGTTCTCGAACGGAAGAGATCCCTGCTCCTGCTTCTTGTCGAGGCTAACCTGAATGTGCCGTATCAATTCCTCGCCTGCGATGATTATCCCGTTAGATATATCGATTAGGCGTTCGTCGTCTTCGTCAATATCAAGTTCTTTCCGCGGTTTGTAAATGAGTTCGTGGTGCATTTTTGACCAGGTATGCATAAGTAGCGACATGAGTTGGATCTCCACTACTCTGCCTCTTACTGCCGATTCATCGTTCGTATCTTCCAGTCGTAGACGAACCCGGTAATGACGTGCGAAGTATCCTGGGAATCTACTTTTGCGGCCGGATACGTCAGTTTTTGCAGAATCACTCCCATCAAGAATCCTATAACGACGAGGGCCGGAATCCCTTTGTGGCCAATCCTGAGGAGGTTTGGCTTCGTCAAAACAGCGCGTTATTAAGTCTTCAACTTTTTCGAAGTCGTTTGGATAATAAAGTGCAATTCGAAACCCGGCTAGATCGTGCATGTCCTTGTCGATGTCCTCGGCACTCTCGTATTTTTGATCGCGTTCATTCTGACGTCGGAGGATGGTTCGTCTGGCCGACGCAAGCCCCTTGGCCTTCCCTCCGTCCAGCCCCTCGCTTCCTCGGTCATAGAGTTCATATTTGATTCCGAAAAGATCCAGTCGTGTTTGCATGACTTTCTTAGCAAGCTCAGTCAAGCGCCCGAAAGCTAGATGTCCACCTCCGCTATAATCCTTTAAGAACTTCGTGATGACAGGGCCATCTGATTGGCCTGTTAATTGCAACTCTTCTATTGCAGGTAAATCCATGCTAATAATTTTCTTTTCTACGTCGTGATGGATTAATTCACGACTTTGAGATGTAAAGCGCAGCAGACATCGCCTCTATTAACACGGGAAACTTCGTAAGACCATTGAGGTATTGAAAAAGCGTAATGGGAGAAGCAGAAGCATAGACGGAAATCCCGCGGCGTCCACGCTATAATAGTATAAAACTACTCCGCTACGCAATAGATCTATGTGCCTAGGATATGCTTCCCCAAACCATTGGTCAGCATTGCCCACGCGGGGGCGCTCATCCTGCTGCAGACTAGATTTGGCGTAGCCGACCTTGGTATACGGGTCTGACATAAGGCTGCTACTTATTTGTACCAAAGTAAAATCATGCTATACATTTCTAGACGCTCGTTAGGTATCTTCGCAGTATGTAGAAGGTTACCGTGGCTTACTCAGGAAACTAATAGTATCATAATACTAGGTACTCAACAATGGAGAAAAGACCTGAGGGGAAGCCTATTGCTGCGTACCGGGATTTCGTCAAATTCCGGGAGCGGAACAACCCGTGCGTCGCAGGTCTATCGGAGTTTCTCGAGAATCGAGGGCTGCCGAGGAATGTCTGTCGGATATATACCAGTGACCACAGTCCCGAGCGCACGACGGAGCATAAGTCACGAGGCTTCGGACAGGTGTCCCCGGAAAATCTCCGCTCAGTTCTCACAGCGCCACCGGTCGGGCATCAAGGGCGTGTCTTCATTGTCGAAGATCCCGATCCCCTAACGGTTGAGCTACTAGGAGCAACACTGGATATTGACCCCGTCTTCTTTGCCGACCACATTGTAACGAAGTATGATGAAATCGAAACGTCGCCAGCTCCTCCTTCAGTCGCTCTAGCGCCATCTCAGATCATATCCGAGTCAGAGCGATTAAACATCCATTATCAACAGATTGTTGACCTTGGTGCTGAAGAGACATTTCGCGGTTGTCCCTGGTCTTTGGGGACCGTAGCGAATGTGCCGCGTAGCGTCAGGCGGTTACAGCCACTCTCAGGACGCCAACTAGGCCTCGCTCGGGGCTGCTGTTCTGTTCTCGTAAAATTGGTTAACGGGGTTTGGACCGGTGAGTTTTGAACCATCTCCAAAATAAATGAAATCGAGTATCTAATTCCCACCGAGGCCTAATCCTTGTCGACTCAATAGCATCTGACATTTCTTGTGATTCATTTCCGGGTCGCTTCCGTAGAAAACCTCTTCATAATAACATCGAAGACTTTCGGACACCAATCTCGTTCTCTAATTATCAATCTTCGGGGTATTCCCCCTCTGCTTTGGGGTTTCCAATCCAGATCCTTCAGGATTGCCTAGCCGAGACCTCACCCGATGTATTTGACCTTCTTAGCTTAGCATACTACCCCCTAAGAATGGTAATTGGAGAGTGGATGCTGTATAGCCAAGTCATGGCTCGGTATCTGGCATATTATGAGTACTCTTTCAAAGACATCAAGTCAGTTATCAGTGGC